GAGGCACTGGGGAGGGACAGGGGTTAACAGCCATGCTCTGCTGCAGGGCCACACTGATGAGCTCTGGGGTCTCTGCACACATCCCTCCTTGAACCGCTTCCTCACTTGTGGCCATGACCGGCAGCTCTGCCTGTGGGACGGGGAAGGCCATGCACTGTCCTGGAGCCTTGACCTTAAGGTAGAACCTTGGACCCCTGGGTCCCCTGTGCCACCTCACCATGACTTCTGTAGCCATCACTCCTTCTCCAACATTTCCTTTCCTTCTGCTCCTTGGGCAGAAGGCACTGGTATGACTGCACCGGATGCTCAGATATGAATCCTTCTGTACTGATTGGGAGAAACATATTCATCCAGTGCTGTCGAGGCACTGCCTCTTCTCCCCTCCCCCAGGATGCCTAAGACCTCTTCTTGGTCCAGCAACTAAGTGGTCAATCTCCAGCATGGCTGGGGGCCTCAGTTCTAGTGGTTAAATGTTTGAGTAGCACCCTGTTTCGGATCCAGTGATGATCAGTCTCCATCCCAGATCTGTCCATTCTCCACCCCCACCCCTATCACTCCTTTAGAGAAGGAGGCCTGGAAGTTCCCCCATCCCAGATCTCCTGTCCTTTCTCCACCTCCACTCCCCATCTCCTCCTTTAGAAAGGAGGCTTGGAAGTTCTCAGGGAATGACAAGGTGTCCATCCTGGTTCCCTTACTAGGAAGGCATCTTCTTGAATTCACCTTCTCCCCCTCCCAGGAGACTGGTCTCTGTGCTGACTTCCACCCGAGTGGGACAGTTGTGGCTGTTGGACTGAACACAGGGAGGTGAGAGGAGCCAGGACTCCTGGGAGGAAAAGGAGGGAGGTATGGGAAGGGTTCCTGGTCACCAGGGAGTGGGTGAGAGTGACCTCTCAGGAGCCTAGCTGTGCCTCTCCACTCCTCAGAGCTTCTTCCCTACTCTCCTGTGGTAACTGGTTTTGCCACTAACCTCTCTCTGCCCTCCCAGCCACTCTCTCCCTCAAACCTGGGAGTGGAAGGAGTGGAAGAGGTGGCATCCCAGGATAGAGAAGCAACAGGAATGGGAGGGGCCTAGGGGAGATGGACAGGGAAATTACAGGCTTCCAGTCTCTACCAGGCCCTTGTAGTCAGCTCCTGGGTTCTCTCTTATTTTATTATTATTATTTTTTTAAAAGGTTTTTGCCATAAAGCAGGCACACTCACTAGAGAGAGACAGTGAGAAGGAGAGTGAAAAATCCTCTCTGGGGGAAAGGTCAGCTGCAATCCCTTCTTCATTCTGCTTTCCTTGGATCTTGGGTACACACACACATGTGCCCAGCATGATTTTCAAGGTGGTGAGTCTGGGACGTGAATCGCAGTCAGCCATGTGGGAGTTCAGTGCCATAACAACCATGCTACCTGCTGGTCCCTAAGTCCTTGGTTTTATTATCTAGTTGTATGACTTCTTTTTCAAATGGCATCAGAAGTACTTCAGCTTTTTTTTGGTTTTTTTTTTAGAGGTTTTTACTACAGGGCACGTGGGCTCGCCAGAAAGACAAAGAGAGACAGAGAGACAGAAAGGGAGAAATCGCCTCCCAGGGGGGATGGCCATGCCGCAATCCCTTCTCCTCCATTCTCCTCTCAGGATCTTGGGCACGCATGCACACGCGTCTGGCGTGAGTTTAAGCCACCGGGTCTGGGACTCAAACTGCGGTCGGCTACATGGGAGTAAAGCGACATAGCCATTATGCTAACTGCTGGTCCCCCCGGAAGTGCTTCAGCTTTTATTTGCCCTTAGCTCTTATTTGCCCTTAGCTCTTTCCTATTTTCTGGCATAATAATACAATAGTGGGGCTAACCCGTGGTGCGGTGATTAAGGTGGCTGGGTGCCACATGGCTGACCATGCAGTTTGAGTCCCAGACCCAGTGGCTTAAAAATACCACATGCTGGGACCAGCAGGTGGTGTGGTGGTTAAGGCACTGGACATTCCCAATGGCTGACCATGGTTCAAGTCCTGGACCTGGTGGTTTGCTTTCTCACTTTCTCTTTCTCTCTGTGTCTCTCTCTGGTCAAAATAAAATAAGTAAATGAATAAATAAAATTCAAAGTAATTATTTTTTTTAATTTATTTTTTAAAGACCTTTTTTTTATAATTGTTTTATTTAACTTTATTTATTATTTATTCATTTGTTTATTTCAATTTGACCAGAGAGGGACAGAGTGAGAGAGAGAGAGGGAGAGAGGTGAGAAAGCAAGCCGCCAGGTCCAGGACTTGAACCATGGTCGGCCATGTCAGAAGCCAGCGCCTTTAACCACCATGCCACCTGCCGGCCCCTAAAGTAATTATTAAAAAAAAAAAATACCACATGCTTGGGGACCAGGTTAAGGCACTGGACACTCTACATGACTGACCATGGTTCGAGTTCCAGACCTGGTGGCTTGCTTTCTTACTTTCCCTCTCTCTCTCTGGTCAAATTAAAATAAATAAAAGAATAAATAAAATTAAATAATTCTTTAAGAAAAAAATCCAACATACATGCCCAAAATTCCAAGGGAGGAACAGATGAGGGAAGGGATTGCAGCGTGACCATTCCCTATGGAGAGTGCTTGCTCATCTCCCCCCTCCCACTCTGTCTCTGGTGACCATATACTCCTTTTGGGGGAAAAATGCAATGGCAACCTCTCTTTTGCAGCATATCCTTTCTTTGTGTGTGTGTGTGTGTGGGGGGGTGTCTCTGGTTTTCCAGCTACCACCCTGCCCAGGGCAGCCTCTCTGGAGGTCTCTTATATTTATTTAATTCCATTTGTTATTATTTTTTAATTTGACCAGCGAGAGACAGAGAAAGGGAAATGGAGAAAGCAAGCCACCAGGTCTGGGACTTGAACCACGGTTGGTCATGTGGGAATCCAGTGCCCTTAACCACCACGCCACCTACCAGCCCTACATTCTATATTTTTGCCTTCTTATACGTTTCTTTCCCTCCCTTCCAGGTGGTTGGTTTTGGACACAGAGACCAGAGAGATCGTGTCTGACGTCACTGATGGCAATGAACAGCTTTCAGTGGTCCGGTACAGCCCAGGTGGGAACCTACCCACCATGGTCTTAAATCTATCCCTGGCCCTTCCCTCTCTGAGTGACTCTCTTTGCAGATGGGTTGTACCTGGCCATTGGTTCCCATGACAACATGATCTACATCTATAGCGTTTCCAGTGATGGTGCCAAGTCCAGCCGTTTTGGTCGCTGTGTGGTGAGGAAGCTGGGGTGGAGGGTGGGTCAGGTAACAGCAGGTAAACTCGGGTCTGGTACATTAAGGGAGGGTCTAGGGATGGGAAACTGCTACATTTTAAAACTCTTGATCTTTGCTCCCAGGGTCACTCCAGCTTCATCACTCACCTTGACTGGTCCAAGGATGGGAACTTTATCATGTCCAATTCTGGGGACTATGAAATTCTTTACTGTGAGTGGCAGTCGGGGAGGAGGACATGGGGAGAGGGTAATTGGAGTGGGTTTTATTTGTGGGAAGGGGATGATGGTGGGTGGTGGCTGCTGGTTGGGAGGGGATGAAGAATACTTGGGGAGCTCCAGGCAGAGGAGCTGTCAGGGAAGTGGAAATGCGGTTAAAGTGGAATTGGAATTATACACAAAAGAGAAAGTATCTGACTTGGAAAAAAGGAAAATCCACATAGGAACTTTCATACCATCTCTTGTTCCCATAAGAACTTGAAGGAGTTGAAAAATGTAATAAGAAAAAAAGCTGTTTTGAAAAAGTTCCATGGTGGGACCAGCAGTTGGCATTATGGCTATGTCGCTGGACTCCCATGTAGTGTACTGCAGTTCGAGTCCTGGACCTGGTGGCTTAAACTCACACTGGGCACGTGTGTGTTCATGCCCAAGATCCCAAGAGAAGAATGGAGGAGAAGGGATTGCAGCCTGGCCATCTCCCTTGGGGGGTGACTTCTCGCTTTCTGTCTCTCTGTCTTTGTGGAGAGTGCATGTGTCCTATAGCAAAAAACTCTCAAAAAAAAGAAAGAAAGAAAAAGAAAAAGTTCCATGGCAGGTATGGAGGGGTTGACTTACGGAGACGGAACTGAGATGCTGTTAGAACTTCAGCGAGGACTCAGGAAGCACATGGGGTATTTCAGCCCAGGGTGGGGTGGGTGGGGGCTACCACTGGGACCAGATCATAGGCCAAGGCCTCCCTTCAAGCATGCTTTCCAACCTGGCCTCCCCTAGCATCTTCTCCACTGGGGGCAGCGTGAGAGCTTAGCGGGGTGGGCTCCCTCTTCTCAGGGGACGTGACTGGAGGCTGCAAGCTGCTGAGGAACCGCTATGAGAGCCGAGATCGGGAATGGGCTACCTATACCTGTGTTCTGGGCTTCCACGTCTACGGTGAGCAGGGGCACAGAACCCTGCAGGAGGGATAGGGGGAGGAGGTGGCGTTTGCCCTGGACTTAGAATGCTGGGTGTATGTCATGGGGTGGGCATCAAGAAACCAGAAGATCCTGCCCCGGAGGTCCCATTGGGCCTCTGGGATGGGAAAGATTGCCTGGAACGCAGCCGGTGGGTGGCTGCTCTGCCGCTGCTTGAGCGCCGGAAACCGTGCAGCTCTGGGCGGTGGGTGGAGGTGTGGGGGGAGGTTGGGCTGAGGCCAGCCGCTGTGTTAGGCGTGTGGCCGGACGGCTCCGATGGAACCGACATCAACTCCCTGTGCCGCTCCCACAATGAGCGCGTGGTGGCTGTGGCCGACGACTTCTGCAAAGTGCACCTTTTCCAGTACCCGTGCGCGCGGGCCAAGGTGAGGCCGCCAGGGACCGCTGAGGCCGGCCGGGCGGGCCTGGGGGTGCGGCTGGGGCGCGCACCTTACA